TTATCTATCTGTTTAGTAAAAAAAAATCTAATTAGTTTATAACCAAAAATTATAATTTTTCAAATTTTTTTTCTTTTATTTTTTATAATATTATTTATGTTTTTTATTAACATACTGTCATCCTAGCAGTAAAGTGTCACTATAGTGACACTGTACTACTTGTGGGGGGTGATGAAGGTTTTTTTTTCTTTTTTTTACACTGATTGCTTTTACACCCATAAAGGCTGTAAAAGCAATCGTTTCTCCTTCTCTCTGGCTACATTCTTGCAGCCATTGAGAAATACTGTGTGAGCTGTGATTGGTCACAGCTTGTCCTGTGGTACAAGGCTGTTGTGAATGTCCTTGTTCCATGGGACCTCTGTGATCATTCACAGATTTCACACGTAGTAAGCAATGATGTCAGAAGTGATATCTTGCTTACTACTCTTCATGTGATCACTGATTGGCCAATCAGTGATCACATGATAGGGACCTCACACAGAGCAACAGTACAGCAACTGTACATGTATCACATGATAGGGACCTCACACAGAGCAACAGTACAGCAATAGTACAGCAACGGGGAGCGCGCACAGGAAATGGATGCATGGGGACATTTAGAAACGTCCACCCGCTCTGGCAGTGCTCCCGTCCAGCCGTTTATGTACATGGGCTGGATGGCAAGTGGTTAAAGTGATTGTAAAGCTTGGAATGTTTTTTATTTTTTTTTTTACTTACCTGCTCTGTGCAATAGTTGTGCACAGAGTAGCTCTGAACCTCTTCTTCTGGGGTCCCCTGCTGGCTCCTCCTCCCTTCTGAGTGCCGCCATAGGAAGCAGCTTTCTATGGTGGCACACCTGTGCGCTCAATCCCAGCCGGGCTGTGTGCATCTCTTTAGGCACACAGCCCAGCTAAGCCTGCCCCCTGCTTTTTGCTCACAGGTTTTGACAGATAGGAGACAATGGGAGAGGGGAGAGGAGTTGCTGCAGACATTGACGGGTTGCAGCTTTCTTACCCTCTTTTGGTTCATCTTGAGGACACAGGAGTGGATGCTTGTTTGCTGCCCTCCCCATAATGAAGATACATCTGGTAAGAACAGCCTTGGAAGATTATTCCTTTAAAAAACCTCTATCTAGTAGGTGTCGTTATTAACTATGTATGACCATGATGTATTGATGACTTTTGTATTTTTTTTTTTGCATTTTTGTTAATTTGTTTATTGTTATATTTTAGTCTCTCTTAGTGGCAATTACATTATCTGCTGTCAGTCTCTGGGGGCATGGCTTCTCTTTCTCTGTCCTTTCACATCCCCTAGATTTTTGTAAGATCAGATTTTTGAAAAAAAGGCTGCATGAATGGGATCAATGTTTCATCGTTTCTTAGCCTGAGGGGGTGTTTAGGTGACGGTAATGTTTGCTGAGATACATTATAAAGATGATAATAATAGTCAAATATTATTGGTTCTGTTTGTTTTTCCCGGCAAAAAGAAAAAAAAGCAGTTTCCTGTTTTTTATGCCGAAGTAAGCTATTTTTTGTTTAATTATATATGTATTTATTTTATTTATTCTTTATGTATGTAGATATTTTTTTTATTATTTTGTTTGTAAGATTTTTAATAAACAAAAATTTACATTATCTGTAAATCTCCTGAAGAAGCCAGAAATTTGGCGAGACACGTTGAGTGGGAATTGTTGCATTGTGAACTCTAAGCCATATGGAGCGCCTTGTTGGTTTTAAATTTCTCACAACCACTAATACAATGTTGTTTTTTAGATGACAATATGGAATAAAGCTTTGTATGATTTTAGTACAATATGAAATGTTTGGAATTTTTTGAGCACCTTAAAAATCCCCTTTTCTCTGTATATTGTTGGTTACTTACTACATGGGGTGTGGTGCTAAGGCTGGCCATACATTATACAATTTTCTTGAGATTTTTGGTTTAGATTTACCAAAAACCATATAATAGGAGGTCAAACCTAACAACACTTTCAATTGTATCCAATTAGGCAGGCTCTTGCACGACATAGTTGAAGGTAAATCTAAAGGAAATTGGGCAGAAATTGGACAGAAAATTGTATAGTGCATGGCCAGCCCAACTGATCTCCAACACACCTGAAACAATATAGAAATCATTACTGCAGATATGCAAAACACTGGAATGAGATTGGGCTCCGGTGAGTTTTTTTTCTTGCATGGGGTGGGTGGGCTGGGGGATTTTTCAGGGGGCAGCCACTATTGAAAGATTTTTTTTATCTTAATGCAGAGAATGCGTTAAGGTAAAAAAAAAATTCCTTTGACCCTTAAAGCCACTTTGAAACATATAAAGCTTTCATAAAGGCAAATCAAATCTGCCTTGATTAGATTACATTCAACTTTGTTGTCGTTCCACATGTAAAAATACAAGGCGACAAAATGCAGTCTCCGTCCATCTCTATAAACTGTCTGAGAGTCCGGCTTCCAGCGAATAGGACTGACTCCTGTTCACTTGTCTGCAGAGAAAACACAGTGAGATGGCCTGCAGAGAACTGAGATTACAAATGGTGGCCTTTGCTGCCATCTAATGTTGGAACGAGATACTACAGTCTTCACTCTAATCCTGTAACAATTCCATTATTCAGGTTAATTTTTCATAAATTATATTTTTATTAGAGAATTTAACATTATGGCATAGAAAGGGGAGATGGAGAATTTATACATGCCAGGCACACGTCAACTCCAACAAATACATGAGGTTCAATTTATAATCCGATACACTGGGGGAGATTTGCTAAAACCAGAGCACTCAGAATCTGGTGCATGGGAGTCAATCAGCTTCTAACTCCAGCTTGTTCAGTTAAAGTGTCACTAAACTCACAACGGTATATGCAGTAAAGCATGCTTGTTATACTTACTGTGGAACCTAAGGAGTTATTCCTCTGCATTGTATAAAAAAGGCTGTTTGATCCTCTCTTCTTTGTTCCTCCCCTTTTTCAAGCAACCACCTCTTATCTCCTGATAAGACAGACTGAACCATAGACATTTTTCACATGCTCAGTTTGATGTGTATTGCTAGAGAGTTTTTTTTTTTCTTCTTGGAAGAGTGCATGTGATCAGCACAGGACCAATCAGCACTGGTCAGACAGAGGTCAGGGGTTCTGCATCCTCCTAGAGCAGAAAGAAAACTCCTCCTACAAGCTTCAGCTAGTGCTCGGCTGGACACTGATAAAAGCCACAAGACTGCTCTAACTTATGATGAGAAAAGGAATTTAGCAGTTTATATTTACTAAAATAATTGCATTTCCATGTTGTTTGTACTGTGGGAGACCAGATATAGTGAATGCAGGGTCCTGGGAGACCGGATATAGTGAATGCAGGTGTGCCCAGGGAGACCAGATATAGTGAATGCAAGCTCCGGGGTGACTGGATATAGTGACTGCAGGGTCCGGGGAGACCAGATATAGTGAATGCAGGGTCCGGGGAGACCAGATATAGTGAATGCAGGGTCTGGGGAGACCGGATATAGTAAATGCAGGGTCCGGGGAAACTGAATATAGTGAATACACGGTCCGGGGAGACCAGATATAGTGACTGCAAGGTCCGGGGAAACCGGATATAGTGAATGCAGGGTCCGGGGAGACCATATATAGTGAATGCAGGGTCCGGGGAGACCAGATATAGTGAATGCAGGGTTCCGGGGAGAGATATAGTGAATGCGGATATAGTGAATGCAGGGTTCGGGGAGACCAGATATAGTGAATGCAGGGTTCCTGGGAGACCAGATATAGTGAATGCGATGTCCGGGGAGACCAGATATAGTGAATGCAGGGTCCGGGGAGACCAGATATAGTGAATGCAGGGTTCCTGGGAGACCAGATATAGTGAATGCGATGTCCGGGAGACCAGATATAGTGAATGCAGGGTCCTGGGAGACAAGATATAGTAAATGCAGGGTTCCGGGAGACCAGATATAGTGAATGCAGGGTCTGGGGAGACCAGATATAGTAAATGCAGGGTCTGGGGAGACCGGTTATAGTGAATGCAGGGTCCGGGGAGACCGGATATAGTGAATGCAGGGTCACGGGAGACCAGATATAGTGAATGCAGGGTCCGGGGAGACCAGATATAGTGAATGCAGGGTCCTGGGAGACCAGATATAGTGAATGCAGGGTCCGGGGAGACCAGATATAGTGACTGCAGGGTCCTGGGAGACCAGATATAGTGACTGCAGGGTCCTGGGAGACCAGATATAGTGAATGCCGGGTCCTGGGAGACCAGATATAGTGAATGCAGGGTCCGGGGACATCAGATATAGTGACTGCAGGGTCCGGGGAGACCAGATATAGTGAATGCAGGGTCCGGGGAGACCATATATAGTGAATGCAGGGTCCGGGGAGAGTGGATATAGTGAATGCAGGGTCCGGGGAGAGTGGATATAGTGAATGCAGGGTCCGGGGAGAGCGGATATAGTGAATGCAGGGTCCGGGGAGAGCGGATATAGTGAATGCAGGGTCCGGGGAGAGCGGATATAGTGAATGCAGGGTCCAGGGAGACCAGATATATTGAATGCAGGGTCCAGGGAGACCAGATATAGTGAAGGCAGGGTCCGGGGAGACCAGATATAGTGAATGCAGGGTCCTGGGAGACAAGATATAGTAAATGCAGGGTTCCGGGGAGACCAGATATAGTGAATGCAGGGTCTGGGGAGACCAGGATATAGTAAATGCAGGGTCTGGGGAGAGACCAGATATAGTGAATGCGGATATATAGTGAATGCAGGGTCCGGGGAGACCGGATATAGTCAATGCAGGGTCCGGGGAGACCGGATATAGTGAATGCAGGGTCCGGGGAGACCGGATATAGTGAATGCAGGGTCCCGGGAGACCGGATATAGTGAATGCAGGGTTCCGGGAGACCAGATATAGTGAATGCAGGGTCCTGGGAGACCAGATATAGTGAATGCAGGGTCCGGAAAGACCAGATATAGTGAATGCAGGGTCCGGGGAGACCAGATATAGTGAATGCAGGGTCCTGGGAGACCAGATATAGTGACTGCAGGGTCCTGGGACCAGACCAGGGATATGGATAAAGTGAATGCAGGGTCCGGGGACATCAGATATAGTGACTGCAGGGTCCGGGGAGACCAGATATAGTGAATGCAGGGTCCGGGGAGACCAGATATAGTGAATGCAGGGTCCGGGGAGACCGGATATAGTGAATGCAGGGTCCGGGGAGAGTGTGATATAGTGAATGCAGGGTCCGGGGAGAGCGGATATAGTGAATGCAGGGTCCGGGGAGAGCGGATATAGTGAATGCAGGGTTCGGGGAGAGCGGATATAGTGAATGCAGGGTCCAGGGAGACCAGATATATTGAATGCAGGGTCCAGGGAGACCAGATATAGTGAATGCGGGGTCCTGGGATACCAGATAAAGTGAATGCGGGGGTCCGGGGAGAGCGGATATAGTGAATGCAGGGTCCGGGGAGACCGGATATAGTGAATGCGGGGTCCGGGGAGAGCGGATATAGTGAATGCAGGGTCCGGGGAGACCAGATATAGTGAATATAGGGTCCTGGGTTTAGTAACACTTTAGTTCCCCGGTCACACCGGTGCAACTTGTTATGTGATTTGATAGTTTCAAATTGCATGGCAAGTTGCAACCTATTGTCCGCAATGGAAGCGGTCATATTGGTACGATTCCGACTCCATTGGAGTTGCACCAATTTTGAAAGTATTTCATGCACAACTTTTTGTATCTGTGGCAGGTGCAGGGTGAATGTATGCAAGGATGTTAAAGTGGCGCTAAACTCTGCCATTCCTACCTCCCCTCCATGGTCCAATGTCCCCCACCGGTGCCAGCATTTTCTAGCATCTTCACTAGGCCAACAAGACTTCTTATCACAGACCAATAGAGAGGAGCAGGAGGTGGGAAGAGTATGTATTGCCAAAACTTTGTCTTTTAGTTTTGGATAGAACAGGGAAGGGTTGGAACCCGTGTCTGATTATTTTTTGCTGTCTATGTACCATTGGGGAAATTTTCCTTCACTTCCAAACCTTGAGTTCCTGGTCACACCAGTGTGACTTCTCATGCGATCTGATAGTTTCAAATCTCATGACAAGTCACACCCTATTATCCGCAATGGAAGGGGTCATATCTGTGCGATTCCGACTCCATCGGAGTCGCACCGATTTTGAAAGTACTTCATGCACTACTTTTTGCAAGTTCAGGTGCGACTTGCATAGACATTTCTGCATGAAGTCACATAGATGCAGGGGCGGACTGACCATTTGGAAAATCAGGCACTGCCCGAGGGCCCGGGGTCAGTAGGGGGCCCCATGAGATGCCCCTGGTACCTTTTTCATAGGCTTTTTTGAGTTTGGGCAAGGACACAGGGGCCCCATGATCCCCTATTGCCCGGGGGCCCCATGAATTGTCAGTCCGCCCCTGCATAGATGTCTTCCAAGTCACACCTGAAGTCAGACTGACATCCAAGTGTGAAATTCTGCAAATCCTGGTGAAGTCGCATTATTATTATTATACAGGATTTATATAGCGCCAACAGTTTGCTCAGCACTTTACAATATAAGGGGACAGTACAATTACAACACTTTCAGTACAGAAGGAATGTGAGGGCCCTGTTCATGGAGCTTACAATCTAAAGGGTCGCATGATTTCAAAGTCAGATTCGGTGTGACCAAAGACTGAAGGTGCCCATACACTACACAAAAAATTGTTTGAAAATCTGTCATTTGGACAGTTCATTTGTTTTTCATCCAATTTTTGATGTTTTTAACCATTAGCCGCCCGGCCAATGGCCGTTTGGTGGCTTCAAAAGTGTTCCTGCATTCCGGGTGCACGCCATTTGGCGTGCTCCCGCACATGCGCAGTTTGCGCTAATGCAGAGTGGCGCAGCAGCGCGATCTGTCACCGGCCGTGCACCTCGGACACGGCCAATGACAGATCCGAGTACCGGCTCCCGTTGCTGGTACCATGTGACCTGCTGTGACCAATCACAGCAGGTCACATGACAGTTGTATACAATGGATGGCTTCATTCATGATGCCATCCATTGTATACTAGTGCCTAGCTGTGAATGGTCACAGCTAATCACATGCCCATGTCATGTGATTAGCTGTGACCAAATCCAGCTAAGCACAAAAAAAAAAAAAAAAAAAAAAAAAGCTGAATGAATCGATTTCATTCAGGTAAATGCTTGCTTATAGTGTAAAAAAAAAAAAAAAAAAAAATACTGATCACTTCCCCAAAGTAGTACAATGTTACTATGGTAACATTGTACTACTTTGGTCTTAGTAAAATATGAAAAAAAAATCTTAAAAAAAAAAAAAAAAAATGTAATAAAAAATTAAATATAATAAAAAAAAAAAAAAAAAAAAAATATATATATTTTTTTCATACTGTCACCAGTCAGTGTCCCTGTTCACCGCCATGTCAGTTATATGATGACACTGTACTGCACTGGTGACAGTATGTAAAAAAAAAAATAGTGAAAATAATTTTTTTAATTTTTTCATTTTCCGAAAAATTATGACAAAAAAATACAACTTCAAAAAACTCGCCATGCCTCTTATGAAGTACGTTGGACTGTCTACTCTGCAAAAAGGAGTCAATTTGGGGATATCTGTACTGTTCTGACACTCTTGGACCTCAAGAAATTAGATTGGCTGTCAGTACTTCAAGATTGATCAATATTCAGATCTATACCATAGTTTGTGATCTCTATAACTTTCCTACAAACTAAAAAAATACATCCTAATTTGGGTTATTTTCACCAAAGAAATGTAGCAGAATACATCTCGGCCTAAATTTATGAAGAACAATTATTTATTTGTAAACTTTTATAACAGAAACAAAGAAAAATTTGTTTTTTTTTCAAAATTTTTGGGACTTTTTTTGTTAATTTAGCAAAAAATAAAAACCCCAGCGGTGATTAAATACCACCAAAAGAAAGCTCTAGTTGTGTGAAGAAAATGATAAAATTTTAGTTTGGGTACAATGTTGTATGACCGCGCAATTGTCATTCAAAGTATGAGAGCGCTGAAACCTGAAAAATGGCCTGGGCAGGAAGGTGTAAAATTGGCCGGTATTGAAACGGTTTTTTTAAACCAAAAAATTGAAGGAAAAGTTGCAAAAACCTCTGCCAAATGGACGATAAATTGAAAGTTTAATGTGTTTCCCAAACTGTTCGTCCTGCGAGTATGTGACAAAACCGATTCATTTATGTCCATTGGAACGATTTATTGTTTGAAAATCAGTCATTACCTGATGGTAAAATCGCTTGCTCTCATGACTGTGTGTTTGAATGATTTATCAACTAGTGTATGACTAGCATAAGCTTTGACCATAAAACCCAGAAGCTGATTGGCTCCCATTCACATCTGCACCAGATTCTGTGTGCTCCAGTTTTAGTAAATCTCCCCCACTGTGAACATTAAATAATATATAAAGATGATGCTTATATTCCTCATATGCCCCTCATTACTATGCTAATGAAATCTAATAGAAAATCTTATTGTTTTCAGTACATGCCTTATTTCACATCCAGTGATATCATCACTAGGTCTCTGTGCTTCTCTAAGCAGTGCAGACAGATCATGACTGGTGGGAGAAGTCAGCAGGGTGCTTTACATAGGTTCCTGAAAATGTCACAGGAGCTCAGTACTTCTCACAGGAGCCCTCAGCAAGCAGTGGGCTGGCAGTTGGGAAGAGTTTTAATATCTGAATGACTCGATGGCTGGATCTCAGTTTGAAGCAGTGGGCATTCTGTGGCAGGCTGTATTTGCATGTAGGACACCCTAGGTAATGCCCACATGTGATGCTGAGAGTCCATGTTTGAAAGAACTAAAAGATAATTAATGAAAGGGGCAGACCACAGAAAGCCAGGCTGGGGAGGAATGAGTTAGATGATGCAGGATGTTCTCCAGCCAGGAAATCTGACTTGCTGCAGCTTTCTAATGCACACTGTGTGGTGCTAATTGTATGCTGTGAAATCAAAGAGTAAGTAGCTTTAATACAAGAGAAAAGCCCATACAACTGTTACTTAAGACCTGAAATAGTATAACCCCACCCCTGCACCCCACCTAAAAAAAGTGTGTTTGTTTTTTGCAGTTTACCAGTACTGTACTTAGATGTGGTGGCCGCATTCATTTTATTTTTAGGCTTTTTCCCCTTTATTTTCACCAGGTGATCTGGTCAGTAAGTCTGTTTTTCGATTTCCTTTAACAGACAATCTGTCCAGACAAAGTGGCAGTTAGATGGATCAGACAAACCATTTACCACTACCAGGGGTGCTTGCAATGATCAGCTTGTATTCATTTATGTACAACCTTTATCCCAAAAAAAAAAAAAACAACAGTTGTTGTAACTGACTAAAGTGTTAGTTGGAATTTTGCTTCAATTTGTCAGTGTATCTAAACCTGCTAGTACATCTAACACTCCCCTCCCCCCAAATGGACGGACAATGCTTCTGTCCAAATGTATCTCCGTTGCTCCTCCCTCCAGAGTGGAGATAGAAAGTGTGTTACTGGCCAGATCACTAAGTGAAAATAAAGGGGAAAAAGACTAAATAAGAAAACAAATGAAGCCACCACATCTAAGGATTGGTGAGCTGCAATGTACTACATTGTTCCCATTAGCCACCAATGTAGGGTACAATGTAAGGAATATTTTGCCACTAACCCCCATTGAGTTGGTTGTAGCAGAGATTCCCCTGAGACCTGAAAATAATTGAAGAGTTCCCCTGTGGCAGAAAACATTGAGAAAGGCTGTCCTAGAGGGATCCCACAGGTATGGTATATTCATAGCCACAAGGTCCAGGATAGAAAAATATTCTTCTTAAATGTGGTTGTAAACCCTTCCATATACCCTGTGAAGTGACTGGCCTAAAGAGATACACAGAGATGAAACAAATCCTCCTACATAAGTTGTACCTGTTTATCTGCATCTTTTCCTACTTCTGTTCAAAGTGCAGAATGTATAAAACTTGCCTGACAGTTCAGAAAAAAAGGGGAAGAGAGCTACACACTGTAGAGCTCAGTGAGGAGAGCTCTGAGAGCTGATTGGAGGGAAGGGACCCCCCCCCCACACAGGAACAGAGCTGAGACTGTCAATCACAGGCTGCGTACTGGAGGCCCCTCCCCTGTCACCTCTTTTCTCTTGGTGTCATGAAAACTTGTCAGAAGTGATTCTTGCTGAAAGCAGAGAAACAAAGTAGAAAGAAATGACACTCAACGCTCTTAACCAATTCAAGTCCAGACACTGTCACCCCCTTCCAGTACAGGCCAATTTTCAGCTTTCAGCGCTATCACACTTTAAATGCCGATTACTCAGACATGCAACACCCAAATTAAATTGTTATCTTTTTTTTAGAGAGATAGAGCCTTCTTTCGGTGGCATTTGATCACCACTGGGTTTTTTAATTTTTGCTATAAAAATGAAAAAAAAAAAAAGTTTGGAACGCATTTTTCTTATAACATTTTGCAAATAAATAATCTTTCTTCAAAATTCTAGGCCAAAATGTATTCTGCTACT